AACTTTCTCTCTACTGCGAAAGCGGAAACTAGAAAGACAGAATTAAGTACACTCCCCTCCACCCCCCTCTAAGCGCTGCGCACGTGTCAGGAGGGATATGTTCATTCAGTGGTCGATAGGTGCGGCAAATAAATACCATAAATTATCAAGGGTCCGCAGACTGTTCTTATCATATACTACATATAAATGGGTCTCTACCCGCGACTGCGTACGTTCGAAACGAATTATTGAATAATACAAGAAACGTCTACGATTCTTCCCTATCCTAAACATCGTCCCGAAAATAAAATCTATTTCAAATTTCAATTAACCTTTGAAAATACTTTCAACAACTTTAGATTACTGACAATGAAAATATCGATCCAATTCCGTATTACCCACTTCCCTCTGGTTGAAATAACATTAACGCTCCTACGAATACCACATCGTACTGCATAAGCTGAAGTGACTTCGTTCACAGCCGACAACAAAAAAAGGCTGAAATATTAGTCGCGCAATTTTTCTTGGACGATGGATTGAACAAATGCGGGTAGAGTGACGTAATCCTCCATTAGATTTTATGAAGCAATGCCAGTCTGGAGAATCAGTGATGCCTTCGCAACTTTCTCATTAATTTGCGTTCTAACTTTCTCAGGAGTTTGAGGTACCTCCTTTGACGCATCTTCACCTGTTTCGGTCATTTCTTTAGATTTTTTGGAGAAAATCACGGCAGAAGTTCTCGTCTTCAACAGAAAATAGTTTCGCGCCAGTAAAGACGTGTTTGGAACGTCATCAGTGCTCGCTGCGAGCTTTTGCCTTCAACTGATTATTATATCAGAGAGGTGGATGCAAGGCCATCGTTTAAGGAAAGTTGCGCGAGTAATACTACAAATTTCACCTCACCACGCCTCCTATGCACGTATTGTTTATATATCACAAGGGGCTGTGCTTCCCTTTTCCGCATGCCCGGGAGTTTAATTGTTTCCCCATCGCCCTGCCAACCTGTACACCTTTGACTGTGCCCCGTTATGTATACATCCTCTATGCGTAAATTACATGCTGGCTTATCACAATATTTCGTCTATATTTGACGTCAAGATAATACAACTATAGACAGCCTACTGTAATAGAAAATCACATGGTGGCAGTGTTTGATGTCATGGACACCGCCGACCAGAAAACGCTGACGAAAATCAACTAGCAAGAAAAGAAAAGAAAATATACGTTCTTGAGCGATGACGTGAAGCTTTGTAGAATACTTTAATCAGAATGACACAATTACTTATAAGTGGAGTATTTGATGTAACAGGCGCAATGTTGTATTGGTGGTGTATTGATTGAGGGCAGTCCTATGAAAAATTAAATGGATTGAAATATTTGGGAGAGTAATGTTATGGAATTGGGAGTAAAGGGAGGACTTACTTTATTTGAAACATGAAGAAGACATACATAGGTATCGTTATTTAAAGTTGTGAAGTTAACTAAATATTTCGTTGTTATTTATGTTTAAAAAAATATTGTGTGAATTTTTTAAAATTATAAATACATTTTAAAAACCTTCGAAGAGTTTTTTATTGATATTTTTTCGTGACGTTTTAGGTCATCAAAATCTACCCCAAGTTATATTTCCCTATCCTGGGAATACTATATAAATACCCGACTGTTAGTCGCATGTGATCGATAAATTAAGATATTTTTTTATTCAAAATGTTTTGGTCAAATGTGTCATAACCGATTATGCAGAATGACGCGGGCTAAATTCAGCTCTTTCTGCGATGCGATTTTATTCGTTTTAATGATTATCCAAAAAAAAAAAAAAAAAATTGCTTGAAAATTTCGTGCAAGTTAAAATAAATGCTTACTGAAAAATTTTTGGGGGGGAGTCACTCATTTGCGCCCCCCCCTCCCTAGGATCCGCGCCTGTAGCTGGCCACTACAATTATTGTCCAGCCAGCGACTAAAGATCTAGGTATCTAGCTGAATGTAGCTGTCTAGCAAAATCCGCCATCATCGAAAGTCGAACTCAGGACCTCCCAGCCAGAATCTCAACAGTATCAAAACTTGTTGATCTGAGCTAATTCAGCCGCTTCGCAGAAGTAATGCAAGCCGATGTTTTGTCACCGTCGACGCACGTGTGCGATATTTTCGATGGCTTTCCTGTTGTTACATCTATTTTCCCACCCGGACGCGAACGTTTGAATACTGTCTCTCTTTATCTCGAATTGCAGTTGGTTATTGCGATGGAAGAATGTTCATTTCTCGCGTAAGACAGACATTCTCAATGCATGCGATAGCCTCTTTTGAAGGTGATGTGTGAATGTTCCCTGTAATGTTTGTGCAAGAAGTTATCGTTATCATCCAAGAAACAGATGAATCGCTATAATCTACTTAAAATGGCTTCGAATTCATACCAGAAAATATGATTCTGGCACAAATTCAAATCACACAAAACGTTCCCCGGACAGTAGAGGATATAGTTCCAGACCCTCTGAAGAATTTCACGTCATGGATTCTGGTACGGTTATGGAATTGACTGAAATTCTTTAATGATATCAGTGATATTAACAATCATGTGAGCTTTTGAAAGTAAATGGAGCCATAGTTTATTTTGTATTTTAATAATTATAACTATGGTTGAATTGGTCCTTGCGAACAATTTCCGAATGTACGTAACTAATGGAATAATATGACTGATTTGCATTTAGTTGGACAGGCGAGATTGGCAAGAGGTGGTATAAACCGGCACATTGCTACCGCTGGTACTTTGTAGAACTTACGAAACACCAGATTGATCACAGCGGCTCTTCTGCGCACGCTATTCAAAAGCGAGTGGTGCTTCAGAATGGCACAGACGTTCCCGTATTATTTTTCTATTTCCTTTTCTCTCTTCCCACATACACTTGCTAGCTGCCATCTATCGCCGCCCAAAGTACATTCTTTGAAATTGTCTTACTTTTTCGGTTTCCTAATAGTACAACCGATATATTGATTTAAGAATATTAAATAACAGTGAAACCTCGTCATAAATGAAAATTTGCTTTGGAAGATTTTGAGTAAATTTTAAGAAAATGGTGCTCAGGTGTAACTATAAATTCGAAATTTGAAGCTCTTTTTCACAGAAAATTTTTGAGTTTTTGAAAAACTTCATCTTAAGACATTTAAAGCACATTAAATCACAAATACAATAGGATTTACAAATTTCTCGAAATGTGTATATTAACGGCGTGAGAAATCGTACAGAAAAATTATATTTGTGTAATTTTTGAAAAAAAAACAAGAAAATAACCCGAAATGAACTTTGCGTAATTCTAAAGAGTGTAATTAGTACTATCCGTCCGAAAAGACGTTTTAGAGAAAATGGCATTTGAGCGTTTCTAAAAATGCAGAATTTTGAGCTAGTTTGCCACAGAAAACGGTTGCGAGAAACTTTGACATAATTTATAGCATATGTACTCATAAATACTGTAATGTGAGCGAATTGCCGCTAATATAATTATTAACGACGTGAGTGACTAGTTAACAAATTTTTTTTTTGTATTTTTGAAAAAAACAAAAGAATATAGCAATATGAAGTTTACGTCACCTTATAGAGTGCATTTAGCACGCTTGCCAGAAGTTTTTGGAAACAATTTTGAGTCATTTTTGAGAAAATATTTTTGTATTTTTTTAAAATTGCACGTATTGCTTGCAATATTCTGCGAAAACTACGAAAAGTTTCAAAAAGATGTTCATGACCTTAATGAAATAACTCACTATGGAGAACAAAGTTTATTTGACGGAAAAGTATATCTGTAATTTTGTATTCAACTACAAAACTAAAGATATACTTTTCCGTCAAATAAAAGTCAAAAAAGCCGAAAAATATTCAAACTTTTGCAATTTTCGAAAATTCAGGGTTAACCATAAAGATTGGACCTACGCCACTTTTATAAAAGTATGTTAATCTATTCTTACAAGAAATTTAAAGAAAAAAATTGTACCCGTTTTTAGAAAATTTTGAAAATGTCCGGAGTGCTTCATGCAAAGTAACCCCAAATTTTGAAGAATATTTTTGAAAATCTCGAAGTTTCGACTCGAGCCAGATGGACGGGTTTCTTCAATTTGGAAAAAAAAAAATCCTAGGCACGGTTAAGGCGCCAATAATGTTCAGACATCAGACAGACGGCCGGAATTGATTTTTCGGTATGAAGGACTCACAAAACAGGAATTCTGGCTTCATCACGTGTTGGAGATTTTTTTCTTAATTTAGCAACGTGATGTATCCACTTTTTCGTTATCAGGACCCGGCAATGAATTTTTTTCTGCTGCAAATCCGCCGTTTTTTCGCGCATTACCTAACTTTCTCTACTCTACGTGCATTTTTCGTCTAGACGTACGTATACGGGAATGTAAAAATAGGCTTGTGTTTAGAGGTTTATCAAGGGCTTTCATCTAACAAAAGTTTTTCTGTGTTTTAATTAATTCAGAAATGCAAGCCGTAAACGGAATGCTAACGTTCCGGCACTTTCATATTTTCAGAGATCTTAGTTTCCAAAGAGATTCTAATAAGGCATAATATGCTCGATTGGTGAAAAAACTCCAATGTAAAAATGAGTTTATTATTTAATCATACTTAATTGTTTATACGAAGCTACTTGCATAACTTTTGGAGTCCTAGTTTTTTTATGCAAATTTCTTGACCACAATCATGTCACAAATACGAAACTAAGATTATGTGAAGTTCATGACAGTATTGCAGTTGACGATGAAAATATAACACTTTCTGCTGCCAAGTCAATGGAATATGCCTGTACTTTTCTAAAAGATAAAGGTCTAATTTTGTGAAATTTTGGGTGTAGTTGTGATAATGTCACTCTCCCTCCCCCCTCTCATTTTTTTCAAAACGCAAAAGCATAGTCGCGTCGTTGAATTTTTCGATTAAAAAGTTCTTCCCAGTTAATGACAATAAAAATACCATTACGTGATCAAGAAAATACAACTCTAAATCAGACGTCTTAAAATTCTGTTTTACTTTTTTTCAGTTCAGATGGCTCACCTTGGGTTCCGTCACAGCATTCCCGAGTCTGCAGTGAACATTTCGTAGGAGGGACAATTAGTTATTCAGAAAGGAATCCTTCTTACATTCCAACAGTATTTGCTCCCAGTTCCCTGAGGGGCACACAAAAGAAGAGGAAGAAACAGAAGAGGATTTCTGTTAATTCGTTTTCTGACTCTGAAAGAGGCGGGATTTGCGCTGTAAATGAAAGTGTAGATCTTAACACGGTAAACAAAAGCAAAGGAAATGATATTGTGGATATGGATGATATTGATATTGACATTGATGATATTGAGGAGATTGAGTTTACGGATGTTGAAGACGCTGCTTCTTACGCTCCTGAAGACGTAGTCGACGAAAGCTCATTCGTAGGCTACGAAAGAAGACGTAGTCAACGAAACACTTCGTACGTAGAAAATGCAATACGAAGTGAATCGACGATACTATCAAAATCTGTTCAAGTAGATTTGAATATTAACAGTTCGTTTTTTGAATTCACTTGTTGTTTTGATAATGGCAACGTAGGTACACAGTGTTCAGTAGTAAATCAAAACAATCTAATTGGTGACAGTGAGTATGATAAAGCAATTATTGAGAATCGTGCGAATTATCATTTGGAAGAAATAATTTCCATAAACAGGAAGGTTGGTGTTAAATAGTATTTTACCTCAGCACTTGATTGTATTAGGGGTATGGAACAGGTGTGTATCGTAATCTGTGATTTTCATTGTGAATAAACACAGTGAACGTGATACTAGGCATTGCGAAAGAAAAACATTATGTTTTTGTAAATTATAAATTTAAATGGCTTAAATTTTATTTTGGAAGCACAGGTAGTCAGATAGAATTAATAACGGACTTCAAGGAAGAAGATGCGGACCAAATACACGCTTCCGTTCTCAGGGTATTCAAAGTCAAGGTGTTGTGTGGTGATACTGCGGGTAATGAAACTCCTATGAATTATACTCGTAATTATGACACAGTTCCTGGAGGCCCCTTTATCAGTCTGTGTGATCCCTTAAAGGGTGTTTAAGGTATTCTCGACTCTGTGCTATCGCTTGGAATTTCATTTACATATTTTGTTTCTGAAATTATAAGTTCATGAACTACTTGTATAAGAATTACACATTGTAGTATGTCTAAGACTTTTTGAAAATTACATATATGCCTGTATTTGCATATTATTTTAATTACGAGAAGTCATGTTTGCATGATATTTAATGAGTGAAAAATTGCAAGTAGTTTATTTTTAATGTATTTGAGTTACAAAACTGTAATAACTTTTGGAACAGCATAAAACTAGATGCCTAAACCGTGAACAGTAATCACGTGGTCATTAACCTTCCACGTGTTGTTGAGTTTTCCAAATAGTTTCGTTCTGTTTTGTGAATTCTTCCCAATTGTAACGGTAGAGTGTATTGCAATCACAAAATTCCCAGAAATGCATGAAGTATGCGTGACTGGAAATGATATGTTGTATATATGTAAATATGAATTAATGTTTTCAGTATGTATATTAAAATGAAGTTGCGAGTATGTGTTGCGGGCCTTGCGTTGTTTTTTTATGTTTAAGTGTTTTAAAGAAATTATGTTCTTTCGTATATTGTTCTTAGAGATCAACCCCAGATGTTAAATCCTAAGTACTAAATCAAATGTATCTATCTACACTGTCCGACGACTTAATCTTATCGATCATGAGCCACGACATGTCTACACACGCTCACTGCCTATTTCTTGAAGTTGTATCTTGGGAATGTGAGAGTTCAGAACGTCTGTTGCCACAGTTGGGAAAATTTCCATTTTCGTGATGACGTATGACTATTATCGCATTATTCCACTGCAGCATCGTTTTCCGACGTTATTATTGTAACATTAGTTATATCAAGGAAATGAATTTAGAATGTTTTGTTTATTTTACATTTTTGCTACAAGAAACATATATTAAAATTATTCGTAAAATTATAAGAAACATAAAAAATATAATGTACTAATAAATTAAAAAAGTGTCATGAAGCCTAATCATTCAAATTGTTTGACATCTCTTAGTTTAATGTTTTTGTTGAAAGTGCAGCAACAGCAAAGTAACAGCGCAGCATAACTATTAACTGCTTAAACTACTTTCAGATACTTTTCCTATTAGTTTGTGCCCCGCCATTTTTGGGTGTTGTATTCATTATTTTATCATCTGTTTATGAATGTGAATTTTCACTGAAACGTTTCGTTTCGGTACAAGGCTTTTTTATTTGTGTATTTAAGGTCACATTAACTTTGTCATTAGCGACCAGGTTGATTTTAACGTTAGGGCCACGACAGTAGTCAGTTGTCAAGAGGACCGTCAGGTAGCATCTCTGCGTACGCACATCTTTCTCACCCGCTCCTGCGTCATCACCCAGCGGCAGAATTGGGAAAGAAGTAGGAAAGTGGTAGAGTTTGGGACACATCACAGGGGATGGACTAGCACTTATGAAGCAGTCAAGCGCGCTTTGTCGGTACAAATTTCGCATGAGATTGTCCTGGAATCGAACTCGCTCCTCCTTAGTGAAATCAAGCGACTTTCGTTCTGAGACACGAGTTGGTGCAAGGCTTTAATACTTGGGTGTTATTTAGATAACGCAGAACAACATAATATACACATTTACAGAAATATATTTGACTTTTAATACCGACAGTTGGAAGATCGGAGCTAAGGATTGCAATTCCTCCTAAAATTAAGAGTTTACATGAAATATAATTGTATATAACTACATTTTATTTAAAGCTTTTCTAAATTAGGCCATTTTCCCCTTATTTTCAATTTTTTTAGGTAATTTTCTTACTATTTTTATAGATCACTTTCAAAGAGTGATTACTTCTTTGAAAGTGATCTATAAAAATCCGAAATCCATCCAATCGTAAGTAAAACGATTCCGTTGAATTGTCGTATTTCTTCAGTATCCGAGCCATTGTAATGAGCAAGGTGGAATACCGCATTCTTGTACTTAAAACTAGTATTTAAAATATATTTTCAAAAACTTTTTCTAGCTTAAACGTAGTTTTTTTATTTGTTGAAATAAAATAACTCATATAGTTTCTTAATACAACTTTCATATTTTTTTGATTTTTCGTGGGCTGGAGGGGGCTTCGTTCCAGCATTGCCCCGGGCCCAGATTGTCTAGCTCCGACTGCAGGTGTCTCAATGTATGCTGCAAATTTCTAGGCCACGAAAAAATTATCACTTTCGTCAATGAACACTTCGTGGGGATTTTCATACAACGGAATTACTCATCTGACATTTCCGTGATTTTTAGGCACTCGGTTCGTTGCTCCGGCAACATCCGTTAGGCGCTCGGACGAGCTCCGTCGTGGCATCGTCGAGGGATTTCATGCACCTGCCGAACAATCAGGGGCTTGCCATGCACATGTACATCCCGTTTTCCTTAACCTCAGCACACTTTTTATACATATTACAGTAATGCAAACTTTGAAGTTCCTATCCGAATGATAGGAATTTGACGAAAGAAAAGGAACTTTCCCCGGAATCCGAAATTGATCATAGAAAACCAAGAGTTGTGTCGCACAACCTTTTGGTGAAAAGTGCATTAATCATGTTTATTGAATCTAATTTTAATTACTTTGGCACTTGCTACCAGGGGCGTGCGGTGATTACTTTGTATACCCCAGCTGCTGGTGGCCAATAAACTCCCCCCATCCCAATGTTTTTGTTAATTGTGCCAATGTTGGTGTTGACCTACCATTTTCAATTGCCTGAACCATCTCGTGGAACAATCTCGTTGAAAATGGTTTCCTCAAAATATCATCGATTATACTCTCACTAGAAGACATACTACACAAAATTATTTCTCATACTTGTCTGGCAAAGCATTTTTACCTCACTGCAAAGTTACTACAATTCCTCTCGAAATAACGAGTAAACACAGCAACACGTCACAAACAATACAATGGATCACCACTGCGTAACGCACTGCTCTAACAAGCACATTGATTCTCCAAAAGAATACGCTCTGCTATTTATAAATTCGAGGATTCTAGGGATCTGATCACATGTGAGTCCAAACTTTTTCCTGAGAAAAATTAATAACATATCCACTAAACATTCTGATTAATTTTCATTACATTGAGAGATAAATATGTGCCCCATAATCATTTCATAAGTTATAAACTTCTCGACAAACGGTGCGTTAATTTATGCTAACAAAACATTCCATTTAAAATAATTTTGCATTGTGGTAGCACTGGCTTAAGAGAAATCACATTTGCAGAGGGGGCGGGCCAAAAGAGGTTTGGCCTCGAAGCAGTGGGAGGGGAAAAATCGACTTGTATCCCCATCTAGCTAGAGTTTAGTGCAAATCGGCTGCCGCCGCCTTCTCTGGCCCAGTGAAATGGATGCGCGCACAACACCCACGCTCAGCTAAGATGTCAGAGCTGGGGATAGAGCATTTCAGAAGCACTAGGCCGCCACACAGATTGAAGTGTACGGTGTGTGCAATATTTTTGATAACGTGACATTCAAAATTTACCAATTTGCTTACCCCAGCAGTGCTCGGGTTGCTGGAGTCGAATGCACGCTACAGCTTCCTACTGGATTCCAATCTTCTAGTTCAAGTTGCTATAGGTATTCTATTCGAAAACATTTGTTTATAATTGTATACAATGGTGTGAATCCACGAATATTGAAGGGTAATTTCAACTTTTATAAATATTTTTTAAAGAAAAGTAGCTTTTGGCAGTTAACCGACACTTCAAATATCTCTTCTTCTAGAGAGGTGACTAAATTGTGAGCACAAATAAGTATTTGAAAAATGTGTAATGTAAATGAATAAACAGTGAGTAATTATGTGAGGGTAACAAGTGCAAATAAATTGTTATAAACATGCTGAAATTTTTTAAATGTCAAAGAGTAAAATGTTATTTGTAAGCTCCTCGTAATAATGTTTTCTACAATGTGCTAAATAAAAATTGCAATGTTTTCCAAATAAAGTTTATCCTGCGAACAATTTCTTCTTTGACGATTTTCACTGGTGGTGACCCAGGAATCCTGTAATTTTTACTTTCCCGTATACGTACGAATATGCGGAGTAGTGTACGTAGTATAGCGAAAAATTACGTAATATTGCGGAAAACCGATTACGACATTTCAACGGAAATACATTTTGGGGGCCCCGGATACCGGATTTTTTTTCTTTTCAGAACGTCCGTCCGTCCATCCGCCAGTCTGTCCGTCTGTGAACACTACTAGTATCTTAACCATACGTAGGATTTTTTCCAAATTAAAGAAAGACCAACATTTTTTGGGCGTCTTCTTACAATCAAAATATTCAAGATAAAGATTTCTCCTTCAAATAAAATTTATTCTCCATAGTGAGTTCTTTTATTACGATTATGTACATTGTTTTGAATGTTGTAGTATTTTTGACACACATATGCGTGCAATTTGTGCAATTTAAAAAAATTACAAACACATTTTCTCAAAAACGGCTCCAAATTATTTCTTTGAACTTTTGGTAGATAGTGCTAAATGTACTCTAAAAGATGACATATATAGCAATTATTTTGTTTTTTTAAAAATTACAAAAAATGTAGTTTTTTTATTTGTCTGTCACTTCGTTAATATTTATATTAGCAGCAATCTGTTCACACTATTGTAATTATGAGTATTTGTGCTGAAAATAATGTCATACAGTTTCTTGAAAACTCAAATGTTTTCTGTGAAAACTAGCTCAAAATTCCGCATTTCCAAAAACGCTGAAACGCCATTTTCTCGAAAATGGCTCCAAATATTTTCTCCAAACATTTCAAACCGAAAGTGGTAATTCCACCCTTTAATATGACGTAATGTTAATTTCGGGATTTTTTTTTTTCAAAAATCACACAAAAGTAATTTTTTTTAAACATCTCGCACGTCTATGGTATGCATATTTCCAATAATTTGTAAACACTATTGTTTTTTTTTTGAGTTAAAGTACTTAAAATTACTTAAAAAGAAGTTTTTCGAAAACTCAAAACTTCTCTGGGTAAAAATGCTTCAAATTTCGGATTTTTAGTAGCGTTTAAACACAAGTTTTTTAAAAACGGCTCCAAATGTTTCAAAGAAATTTAACATTTAGGATGGTGTTTTACTGTTCTTACTCTTTCTTAAAATAATATTTTTCTTTTCACAATTAAAAAACCGAAAAATTAAGAAAATGTAAAAAAATGTAATTTGGCGATACATGGCAACTGGGACAAGATCGCCGACTAGCTAGCCGAGACCAAAGGAAATAGAAAACTAACTCTGGGAAAGTCAGTGCCATTCTGTAGCATCACTAGTTATAATTCTTTAAGTGTATTCTTTTTTCTTATAAAAATAATTAATTTGTAAGAAGGGTAAAAACCATTACCGAATTCCGACCGGAAGTTATGAGTTCATTTAGTGTCTTCCCCTGCTCAAACCTGCTTAAAATGAAATTCACAGGAAAAAAAACAACACCAGAAAACTGCATTCATGTTTCTTTAATTGAAAAATTATTGTCATGTATAAAACATGTCCTAACAATAGTGCTTGTTGTACAGTTGTGTGAATTTGTTTGTTTGTGTGAATTGTATTGACGACAATTGCATCAATGCATATCCAATACAAAAACTCGAGTGTCCGCTAAGATTTGATAAGATGTAAAGGTGAATCTTTATTCTTAAAATCTTTAAATTTTAATTTTGCAGAAAATATATCCACAATATCTGCGAGCGTTTTACTATTAATTTGCATAAGTTTCAAATTTCATTTTCAGAATAATCAAAAACAGTGTTTTCATGCCCCTTGATATCTTAATTCCTTTATTCCTAGAATATCATATTAAATTAATTCGGGGGAAACGTGATAGTTATGTGAACGTTTATATCATGAAAGGAGTCCCGGCATCTTTTACTGGGAGAAGACTCGATTATAGCTCGTTCTTTAAAGTATTTTTTGTAAAAATGCCCCTGTGAAGTGGGGTGTCCAAGAAACTAGAGTATTCTCTCCGTAGTTTCAACATTGTATGGAGGAAAGTGTACCGCAGGGTTTTTTCTTTCTTCTTCTTTAAATGGACCGCCCTCGATGCGTAATCAAATAATTTTGTATTCCATGATATATCAAAGAGTTGTTCATGTGCAGAACAACGAATGAATAAATGTAAATTTTATTGAACCACGAGACAAGTCTTCAGTGGTACTGCTATCTACCGGAAACCACGAGTACTCACACGAGAAGTGCGTGCTGCGAATCTTTTTTTGCGTTAGTTGCGTATCTTGTTGTTGTGCGCTGCGTATTAAGTTGGTTCTGTATTGTCTGGTTAATCGTATTCATTTTTAACCTTTGCCCAAAATTCAAGTGTCTGATGGTCACACACTATAATGATTAGTCGTTTTTGAGCATACAGTTTTGAATGTGAATATGAAGTAAAAAATCTAAAAATAATATATTGAATTTTAAAATCAAAATGACACCTGAGTAATTTAATTGTCACGTCTTGTAGAAATTTAGTGGTGATGAATGAGATCTCACAGAATACTAGAAAGTGTTTTAAATGAATGAAATATCTGCAATTTTATTCACTCATTAAGAAGTATATAAAAAATAGAACATTTATATCAACAATGTCAGAAGTAGAAAATGTGAAACGAGTTACACTTGACCAGGTAATTTTTTAATATTATTTGTGAGATAAAGTCGAAACTGATTTTAAATGGAATTTAATCTTGTTCCAGTTTCCAGCTTTGTTACGGGATTGTGTTCATATGCGCAACAAAGAACATGTAGAAAATCTTATCAATGAACTAGTTAAAGGTGGTGCTGAGAAGTTGCAGGTAAATATAAGGATTAAAGTGAATGTATTATCAGTTTATATAAATATTCTTGTGTAGGTATATTTTTTCTTTTGAGTGCATTTGATTTGTGTATGAACTTGTGGCTATTTGACAGTGAATCTTTAAACCTTGACTGTTTTTGTTCTCAACTTGCTTTTATTGTTGCCTCGCATTAAAACTTCAATATGTTTTACACTATTTTATTTGGTAGCCAACCAAAAAGAATTTTAGAAATCACTGGCAAGTGTTTTTATGATTATGGAACTTTGCGCATATCGTGCAATTAAGAGACAAATTTTCTTCCATATAGTGAAAATATTTCTTGAAAATTCAATCATTTTATATAGAAGTTCAAAAGGTCAAAATGAAATATTTTTGTTTTATGTTGCAGTTCATTTCTGACTTTGACCAAACCATGACAAAACAGCATATGAATGGTCAGCGATGTCTATCCAGTTTTGGTAATTTTGTTAATCATATCAAGGACAGTTTTGTGTATGTGTCAGTTTCATTTCTCACGACCAGAATTTTGTTTCTTTTTTTCCAGGTGTGTTTGGACATTGTCCTCAGTTACCCCAAAATTATCGGGAACAATCACAAGCCCTTTTTAACCAGTATCGACCAATTGAAATTGATCCGGAAATGAGTGTGGAGCAAAAGATTCCTCATATGGTAGAATGGTACGAGAAAGCTCAAGATTTATTGACAGGATTTCCTCTACCACAAACACATTTAGATAATGTAATGCACAACATCTGTTTAGAACTTAGGTATGTACAACAACATAATGAAAAGTTCTCGGCCTGAGAGTGCAAACCTTTTTTTTCATTTTTTTCATTGTGAAGCATTTTCCCCGATGCAAATTTTTTTGATGTGGATGTAAATGGAAGTCATAGGGTGAAAAATCTGGTGAATATGATTAATGTTCCAGTAATCTGTAGTTAAAGTCTTTCAGTTTTTTCATTGATAAAGCACTTTGTGAGAAGGTGCATAATCAGAAAAATCAGTTGGTGAGCAGGTGAATAAATTTTTTTTTTTACTTTTTGCAATCCAGGCCTCTTCTTATGAATTTCTCTGAGTTGGTTGAGAAAACGTGCATAATATTCACCATTAAAAATTTTGTTCTTCTTCTTCTTCGGCTTTTTCTCCTTAGGAGCTTGTTGTTTTTACCCTCCACAACTCTCGGTTCTCCCAGTCTTCTGGTTTGAGGTCTCTATCCTCCATAGCTTTCTGAATGTATTTTTCTCACTCTAAAACGGGTCTTCCTCATCTTCTCCTCTCAGGTGGTTACCACTTTAAGATCAGTTAAAGTAGGGTACACGGTACATCCTCAGAGAAGTGTGGCGGCGGGCTCTCCTTAAGCCCTCCCTCAAATTACACTAAGCATTTCGATAGAAATGAATAAAACTTATGGATAGGTGATTTTCAGGTCTTGCCCTTCATATGCTTTGTTCCCGCCGCATTGTAACACCAATTTACTTTCAAAGGCAAATTTTCTTGCTTCGCTCGCTCCGATCCAAGTCACAGCAAGGCTCGGGCCTACGGCCCTCGTGTTCACTATAAACATCCTTCAGCCTATCTACCACATAATTACCAATTCACTTTTATAAGAAAGCACTTTTCAGGAAAGCCTCCAATATTTAAACAGCGTAGTTATTGACAGAGCGGCGTGAAGTATTGATTTAAACAACTTCCATAAGTTATACTGTATACTAGACTTCAGCCTTAAGATCTTGTGTGGCCGTCTGTTTTCAGACATTTTCTGAACATGTCCATATCATTGTAGTGCTCTGTTTGCCAAGGTCTTCGTAATAGAACAAATTACAATCATCCTTCTCCATATTTCTTCATTTCGCACTCTATCCCTGCGAGTAAGTTGTAGGCATCGCCTCATGTAGTCCATTTCTAATCTTATCTTTAATTTTTTGTGTTTGCGGCCACATTTCTGCTCCGTATAGTACTATATTTTCTACTACACAGTGGAATATCCTTCTTTTGACATCTTGGCGGATATTGTTAATATATGCCATAATATGCCTTGTAAAGCTTTTGTTGGTTTCTTCCCCATAATTACTCTAGAGTTTATATCTATAGCACATGTACCCGAGTTGTTTATTAAAGATCCATGATATTTGAAGGTGTAACTGCTTTTAATTTTGTTACCATTCACGTGTATATCCGTTAATACTTGTCCAATGCACATACATTCAGTTTTATTAAAATTTATTTATAATCTCCATTTATTATATTTTTCGATAAGCTTTCTTAGCATATACACCACATCGTCTTCATCTTGAGCTAAGATTACCTGGTCATCAGCAAATAGAAGGGAGTGAAAGGTGTCGTCTCCAATTTTTATTCCCATGCCTGAACATTTCCTTTACTAGTTATATTTACCTTTCCTGTTTCCTGTACCATTAATAATTTTGTAAGATAATAAAAATAATATTTTTGGCATACCAGTAATCCGTTGTCAGAACCTTTCCAACAGATGAAATAATAGTCACCTTTGGGGCACAGTCACTACTTCCACTGATTGCTTTGGTTCTTGTTTAATTTTTGGTTGTTACTGTGGCTAGTCCATAGTCATTGCACAAAATCATTTGGATTCTTTTTGAAGCATTCCAGACAGAAAGAAAGAAACTGAGAAAGTAGTATTCACATTTGCTGTTTGGCAGCAGTCAACAAATTTGGCACTCTTGTGCTCAAGCTTTCATATATTTAAATCTTTGTGTAAAATGTATTGTATCTTCTTTTATGTGTCAGTTTTAGTGTCAGATACTTCACGCAACTACCTGCCTATCTGGGTATCTAATTTTTGGGCACTTTTATATTTTACTCTAGTTAGTTTTAGGATGCTCATGTGTAATGTCTTTGAGAGAAGTACCATGTTTAAATTTACAGCCCATTTTTCTGACCATAGAAAATGAAGGAGGAGACTCCTTATTCACCAACTTTGGATGACTTTCTGAGAATGATAAACAGTCCTTAAATCGACAATTTTATGATGGTACTAGATTCCAGTTTCTACATCTGAAGGAAACACAGACACTATGTCTACTTTCAACTGCCGTACAAACAAAAATCAACTTGATCAAGTTGAGGGTTGGCAAACATTATTGCAAACGTTATTGTGTGTATGTATAAACTTAGCAGACGCAAAAGTTTATTCATAATTTTTTTTAAATACCTCTTTGTTTTTAGACAGATTAGTTTTTGAATAAATTATTTATTTAATTTAAAGTCATTCATGTTCATAATTTATTTGTTATTAAAAACCTGTTAACAGTATGTTTCAAGACTTGCTATTGCCTCATCTTTAGGTACATCTTGAAATATAGTGTTGTCTCAAAATTTATTATTAATAGGTTTTTAATAAAAAATATTTAATAACTGGAATGACTTTTATTAAATTTATTGAAAAACTAGTCTGCCTAAAAACAGAGTTTTTCTTATAATATTCTAAATGTATTAAAAAGAGACAAGAAATTTTCAAAATATTTTAAAACAAAAAAGTTAATTGTTTGCAATGCAAGGCCGAGAACTTTTCACTTTGCCTCCATAGATTTATGAATTGTGTGAAACAATAATTTATTCAAATTCTTACTGACTAATGTCTTGTGTTTGTTCTGATGCAGGAATGGCACAGTGAACTTATTATCACACTTAAACAAAGCTGATGTGCCAATGTTGGTATTTTCCGCTGGTTTGGGTGACATGGTTGCTGCAATATTGCGGTACCATTCTGCTTTATTGCCAAACGTTCACATTATATCGAACTTCTTGCAGTATGATGGAGATACATTGTGTGGATTCAAAGGCCAGATTATTCACACCTTCAACAAAAATGAACACGCCATTGAGAATTCTGATTATTTCTCGGTAATTTACAAATAAATAATTTAACCTTGTGAAATATTGATCTGTAAAGACTGAACTTTTCTTTAGCTTGACGCCCTATTTGCTTGGGATGTGAGAAGATTCAATAGGGAGGAAACACGTCTTATACAGGTTGTCTGGGGAGGAAACATCAAAACTTCGGAAATAAGGTCTTAAGTCAATTTTAAATCGAATAAACCACTCAGATATTCCGAATGGAATGCAGAAGTACTCAATCGTTGGGTTGAAAAAGCACTTTCTAGGAAAAAAATTTGCATTTTGAAGCATAAAAACACTAGAAACTTGTAAATTGTTTATTATTTACCTAAGAAATGAATATTTTTGTTCAGAAAGAAAAATTAACCCAGAAATAAAAAAAAGCAGTTGAATTGTGTAAATTATATTTACACAATTTACCAATAATATGAAAAAGTATATGCTGATGAAGCACCTACTTTCTATTTATTTTTGACCCAATTACAAAAAATTGTATTGAGTGGTATAACTTTATCTTCAACTTTAAGTAATTTAATAACAAAATCTGTTTCAAATCAAATCGAAACAGATTTTGTTATACGAAACCTAAAAGTAAATGTTTTATAAGATAGTTATTATAATGTACTAGAAATTATAGAAGTATATTTATAACAATTTTTGTAATGGTTTGATGCTTTGGTCACCTCTCGTGCAGAAGAAGACAACTGAGAAAAAGAAATTAAAGAAATATGTATTAAGAACAGGTGTTTTGCTTTGTATTTTTTAGTATGGCCTTTACAATATTCAGAAGTAATATCCTCTGAATTTAGTGAAGTATCGATTGATCAACACATAAATGACAGGATTTAAATTTTGGTACTATTCTGATTCAGTGTTTCATTACGTGTTTGAAATATATGAGCTTCTTATATCTTTTATATAAGCTAATATTTTACTTCTTGATTATGATGCTGTAAAATATTTTCCCCATTCATCTTTCACCAAGATGCTGCTAATTTGTTTCTTCTTTTTGTAGCAATTTTTATTATCTGTGTTTTTGATTTATAGTTTGACATTCATAGCTGTGCTATTTACCTGGTCAATATTTCTCATCAGTATTCATTTTTTTATTTGCAATCTTTTTTAGTTGTTAACTGGACGCTCAAATGTGATATTGCTGGGTGATTCAGAAGGAGATGCACGTATGGCAGAAGGAGTTAAAGATTCCAATGCTGTTCTAAAAATAGGATTCTTGTATGAACGGGTATGTGTAAATTGAAGAAATGTTTGTAATGTATGAAATACAGTGGAACCTGTCTTAAGCATTCACCAATGGTTTTTTCAAAAATTTTGCAAGGTAGTGAAAGTTGAAGTCAAGTCTAATTGTGCTAATTGCAATGAAATTCTGTAAATTCTTTAAGATTTTCCGTGACTATAAATTACAAAGTGCAATTCAAACTTGATATTTAGTATCATATCCATTCTCTCAGCAACCTCCAATCAAAACACTTCACTTGTCACTCATTCTTTTAGTCGAGAAACTGTTCAACTAATCAACTAATGGCACTGCACTGCCTCTGATTGGGAGATCCTAGGTTCAAGTTTCAACTATGGCACTAGCTTGTCAGCCAGTGTGGAGGAGAATTCTAGTGGCCGGCTCCTCTGATCAGTAGTTTTCCGTCGTTTCTCCTTTTCACACCAGGCAAATGCCAGAGCAGTACCCTAACAAATGGGGCCAGGGACAATGTATTATCTTTCCTTCCTCTTCCTTGTCCTCTCCTCACCCCTTACACACAATTACACTATCATGCACTACACTAACACACTTGCCGGCTGATTGGTGAGGAGCTTAGAGCTTGTCCCGGCTGGAGCTGTGCCCTGCTGGTGGGAGATACCTTGCTTAGGGAAATCCTGTTAGCCGACAGTAGGTCGGCGCCGGATCTCGCCATCCAGCAGGGGAGGATCACCCACTTCCTGAGGGGGGAAAATGCACTACAATTATGTACCTAGTAATTGTAATTGATGCACCCAGAATCACTAACAACCAACCAGGCAAACGGCTTAAAGATTTAACATCCTGTAGGTAATTTACTGCAGACCATCTAATGAAGGTGGTATATATGTGTCTGCACAACAAGCTTCCTGAGTTTTTAATTCATTCTCACAAAGGAGAGGCATGAGTTTATAAATCATTGGAACACTATAAACTGGGTAAAATAAACACATTGTTCATTAAGAGATATTTATTAAAATTAAATGTAACTTGAAACAAATGTGAATCCCACTGCAATGTGGCACTGTTCAACATAATCTGTCAATCGGTTTTGTTGCAGGAAGGTATTAAATTATTAGTTATCTCCACCAGTTTTCCATTCATGATAATTCAGTTTAAATGCATTTAAGTAACTGTTTCATCGAGGGTATATGTGTTTATTGCTTTCTCAAGCTCACATGAACAGCCATTGTGCAGCTAGAGCTGTAGCCTCATAGAGCTGGTCCCCAGGCATAAACCCCTTACCAACTCATTGGGTCACTTTTGAGTTGCTAATTCAACTATATATTGAATTCCACAAAATAAAATATTTACTTGGTGTGACATGCTGTTACGGGCTAGAGTCAGCAGTGTTCCAGCCTCGCAGCCATGGGTTAAGGGGTACATGTTGTTTACACATAGATATCCGTATGGCATAGGCTCAGGTCTTCTCAACCTGAGAACTGAGTTGTCTCATCTGTATGCAGTAACATATACTGGGACATTGCAAAGTAAACACACCCTATAATCTTGCTTGACCAGGAATTGAACCGGGGGTCATCTCATGGAAAGCAAGGATGCTGACCAATGAGCTATGCACAAAAGAAAATACTTGTCTAAAATTCTAAATATACATTTTTGAGAACTACTACACTGTACCTACCCTCTGAACTCCATAATATCCATCTTAACTTCAACAATTTAGGCTGCAAAGTGTGCCTAGTCAGATGGCCGCTTCAAATCACATGTCTGAAAAATTAAATTGTTACCACAAAAAATTGGCCATTATTCGAGGTAGCCATTTGAGTAGGTTTCACTGTAAAACCCACAATTTGTAAATCTAATTTCAGCAACTTTTAATGTTGGTTATTTTTTTTACAGGTTGAAGAAAGTTTGAATACATACTTAGATATATATGATATAGTTTTAGTTGATGATCAAACAATGGATGTCCCCAATCAACTTCTAGATGTAATATTTAAAATTTAATAGGATCAATATTGGAGGACAAATACTTGACTTGGGTCATGTATAATTGTGAATGTGTGTAAAATTGTGTGCATATGTGGTATAATTTGTTATGTGTTTACAAAAAATATGATATATTTTTTGATGAGATTGTATATTGAAATAATAATTGGCATTAATGTATTTGTTAATTTATCTTGTTTGAGACATGTTTGGATTGAGTATTGTTATCAGATGTGTGAAGAGTGAATTTTAATAGTTAGATCATGGCTTTGTGCAGTAAACATTGCATCTTTTAAAGTCTTTAGTGAAGAACATATGATACTATGTTCAATAAATGTTTATGAAAAATATCACTTCAATTACATAAATAACAAATTAAAAATTATGTATGAAATTTCTGGCATGTATTTATTTTTTATATATTTTAAAGCTGTGCTGTATGTTTGGAATCACTTTGTTGTTTAGGTAAATAGAGAAACTAATGCAATGTGTTATTAATGTGATGACAGGTAAGGTCTTTTATATTTAAATGAGTTACAATCGTTGAAAACAGTATTCTAAAAAGTATAATCTACTGCCAAAAACAATTCACTGCCTTAATTTACACATGACACTATTGAATAAAATTGCACAAAGGCAAGCAATGGTGTTTCCTTTTCTTGTTTGCGGTTTCATGTCTGCCTCCAATGCTTTTATTTATTTTATGAGGTATTTAACCATAGTTTGAATAAAAGGGTTTGATTTGGTTTTTAACCCCCCCTTTTTATGAAGATGCAGTGTATGCCATATTTTGTAACAAAATGTATATTTTATTAAACAATGGATTTGTCATGGTTACGTATTTGCTTTGTAATTCATAATAAATGTTGCAAATAATCTTACCTTATCATTGTTTTCTAATTATTAAATGGAATTTAATTGGATGGTATTTTGACTTACTAGATTATTTATATAAAATACTATTTATTTTGTTTAAAGCTTACTGTTTTATTAATTTTTTTCAAAGTTTAAAACATTGAATTTTTGTCCAATACCTGGAATTTCTACTTTATTTATTTATTTTTTCTACTTTTTTTATTTATTTATTTTACTATCTTGTTCTCATATGGACTATTGCAAAAACCAATGATATGGGAATCCCAGAACAGCGAAGTGGTATAAAAATGTGTTAAAAATGGGCAAGGAAGGGTGCTGGCCAGGTATTGGAATGAGATTAGAAAATGAACTGGGGAATGATAAATATTCTTAAAGTAAAGGAGGTGCAGAAGTTAAGAGAGAGAGGAATGAGGGTACAGGAAATTTTAGGGACAGAGGACTGCAAGGACGTAATATGGAATTCCAAGATACGTGAGGGGAAGGAGGAGGGAGAGTAGCAGAAGCAGAATTGCAAGACTCAGAATGGGAAATAGTGAGTGCAGTGAGGAGCAGTATATATTAGGAAATATTGAAGAAAAGCTGGGCAGAGTGTAGTGTCAAAGGAAACAGAAACATGTGATGGAGAAGATACAGGGGCCCGTGGTGTCATTTATTGTGTCTCATGAAGTGTTATTAGGGGACTCGGATTCTGATGACCTAAAAATTATTTGAAAATCACCTATGAAATGACTTAAAAAATAAGGGGAAAATGACCTTCTTTTACTCAAAAATTGTATGAATGTGTTTATTCATTCAATGAATTTTACCATTTGTAATACAATTTATTTATATACAACTTTCTGTTTGACAATGTCTCTATTTTTGTTAGTGTTAACCCAGCACTGCATGCATTTGGACTGAGAGACTCTGAAAGTCTTTATTCTAATATTGTGATTTAAATTTGGTCGCCCCTGAACCCTGCTTCCAGGTACCATTTCCTCCAACAGATACGAGTTACATCTCTTCTTAAAGTGAGTATCGTTATCCTTTCTGCAGTTAGACATTCCAAAATGTTGCAAGAGTCTGAGAAACCACCTTTGTGTACTTGTACAATGGCATTATTTCAGTACGTTACCCATCTTAACCAAATATTGGTGTTTACTATGCAAAAAGTTAGTTTGTTTGGAACCTTCACTAACAGTTTGTAATGAAGTATGAAGAGAGCATGCAATGAAGGGACGTTGTCAGATATGTAAAATATTAATATCTGCTACACTCCCTTGATCGAAATTATAAGGGAAATTGAATTAAGGGAGAAATAAGGGTGAGATTTTGTGCGTGCACCGACACGAGAGAAAGAGGCTAGTGTGCTGCTGGGTTACCCGTCGAGGTGGGTCGTTCCACCTCTCGACGACAGGGCGCAGGGAGGGCTCTCAAGTATTCCTTTCTCTCTCTCTCTCTCCAGTCATCCTTATCTTCCCCATCGTTCATTCTCGTTCTTTGATAACACCCTGTCTCCTTTCTTCTACCCCTTCACTGCCTCCAGTATGCAGAACGCCCACCCATGTGTTTGCCGTGCATGCCGACCCGTGTCGGAGGGAAGGTGTGACCTGGAAGTTAAAGGACCTGGAAGTTAAAATTTTTGTTTCCCTACAACTCCTGGTGCTACTTTCTGCCTTGCACCTAGGTTGAGGTATTTGGGGGAACATTCCTTGTAAGTTTCCAACACACTTGCTTTGTCCTCAGACTCTTCTAGACAGGCAGTTGGGAGCTAACCCACTCCCAATCAATCGGCTCGGACTAGGTCTTGGGTGAGCAGGGGGATCCACGGCGGGGCAGCGCTGTGACATCTTCCCAGTATATCTTGGTGTCAACCCTGGCGCCCCAGCGGGGTGTCCCCTCGTTGGACTCCGTGGTGGGAGGGGAGTAGGGAGGCGAATCCGCTTCAATTCTATGGAGCATAGAACAAACCCCTGGCCCTCTTCCGGAAGGAACAGGCAATGTTTTGAGAGAACGGTGGAATTGAGTAGTTTCTTCCTTGGGGAAGAAGATAAACAAAAGAAGCCTTTTGATGTGGTGCACGGAAGAAGGAAAAAGTGCAAAGTACTAGTGCGGTTCGTCTCGCGCGTGCCATTGAGGACAGTTCCGGTAAACTGCAAGCGGTGGTGCGTCAGAGGAATGGTACCATTCCCTTCGATGCACGCGCCGATGAGCAAACCCAAAAAATCTCAACTAAGCAGATTGCCGGCCTCCAGGTGGAAGGGACCACTTACCCTACCTTTAGTGTACGTAAGGGAGTGGTGAATTACTTTGGTGATGACTTTGCGTCCGAAAGTGAGGAGAACTTCTGTCTTCCTTCAAGAGACAGGGCGTAACGGAGGTGTTAAGGATCAAGAGGAAGGAGAATGGGAGAGACATTGCTACTCCCACTCTGATCTTGACCTTTAATCTCCTCGCTCTCCCAGAGAGGATAAGGTGTGGTTTTTATAATCTCCACGTGCGGCAGTATGTGCGAAACTCCCTTCGTTGCTTCAAGTGTCAGAGGTTCAGCCATACCCAACAGCGGTGCATGGCCGTAAGCCTTGTTTGCGGCAAATCCACACACGATACGAACCCCTGTGCCTCACCGATTTGCTGTGTTAACTGCGAAGGAGACCACGCGGCCAACTCGAACAGGTGCCCTACATACTTGAGGGAGAGGGAGATCCAAAAGATCAGAGTGACGGAGAAGGTATCTTTTCTCGAGGCGAAACGCCGATACATAGTGAAGAACCTTGTAGATCTGGGGCGTTCATTTTCCAGTACTCTGGCCAAGACGGCAAAATCAACAGGCTTATCAAAAGTTGTACCATTCTGTTTCTTCTATTGAACATTTGGTTTTCAATTTTCTTCTGATGTCCTTATTTCTCAGTCTGTCTCTTCTTGTGATTCCCATGAGGTCTGATTAAAAACATCATATGTGCCGTCTGTAGTTTTTGTTTGTCTCTCTCATTCATTACCCATGTTTCAGAGTGATACATGATTCTAAGTTCAGCAGTTATATTGTGGAGTTTGTTTTATTTCTGGGTCCATGTCTCTGCCAAAGTGTCTCTTATTTGTTCCACATTAGTTATTAAGTGTAGTATTAAGTAGTTATTAAGCTTATTTTCTATGTCTTTCTGTTTTTTTGGTTGGGTTGGTATTTTTATTCAAGGTATCTGAAGAAAAGAAGCTTCAGCTGTAAACCAATGGAGGCCCCTATATCAAACAAAATACACCTGCCTTTACATTTATTACTGTATAAAAGAAGTCTTGAGAACTGTATTTGTATGTAAGAGCGTATAAGCTCTCACATACATAAAAGTAATAATTAAAACATGAAAGTTCAGGCCTTTATCTTTGTTGTATGAATAACAACAAACGATACTCAGTTGCAATGGCGTTTATTTAGCGACCTTTTGAATACACAGCTTGAGTAAGAGACGAGCGTAGCAGTCTGCAGTCAGGCCGTCGCGGTCGTTTCTGGCGCGCTCGCAGGGTGGCGCCCTTCGTCTATCATTTAACATCTCCCTCTTTCGAGACTAAAGGTTGACACGTGGTGGTTTTGACAGACGTCCTGACCGAATTCGTTGAACTTCCACTGGCGGGTGTCCATCTTCTTGGTCGGCTGTTCTCGTCACTTGCGTATCGTCAGGAGGTCCGTCGCACGCTCGTTTCACGGGTGTTGTCGATCTCGGTAGCGAGCTTATCCCTTCGGTGTCTTTTGGCTTTATTGGGAATATCGCGGACTCGGTGGGAATATCGGACAGTTTGTATGATGTATGATCGAGGTCCCCCGCCCTTTGTATCGCCGTCCCAAATCTCTTAGAATCTTTGATGAAGACCGGAATCACTATCAATCAATCTATTATTATTAACAATGACCAGAGCCTTTGGGTTATCACTTTCGAGTGAAATGCTGTGTTCGCGCCCGCAATGCGGGCGGGTCCAGGTGAAAGGGGGCTAGGTAGGTTGAAGGTTTTGCGGTTGTAAGAAATAGCAATACTTTGCGATAGTTGATGCAATAATAGATTCAAAACAGCATATTCCACAATAACGATGTTTTCCCGCTTCGGTAGCTTGTCTATCGCTGTTTCTAAATTTAAAAAAAAGTTAGGAATTCATTTCAATTTTATAAGTGACAATCTTAGAAAGTTAAATAATAACGACAGTATTGGTTATTAATCATAGACTGATGAATTCGAGTTGGCTAAAGAATATTTTGATTATTTAAGGTAATACTACTTGTGGTTGCTACACCCTTTTGTAAAGAGGGCCCGGATAAAAGTTTTGCTGGCGGGCCCGCATCCATTTCGTTACGCTACTGGTGGAATGATAAAGAAAATAATACTGGTAAAATAAGGATTCTCAGTGTATTTTAAATAATCACAATATCAAGATACAGCATGAAAAAGTAAATAAACGTTGAACTGTTTCATTGGTATACGCTTTTATACCAAATGGCATCTCACATGGACAGCCGGGTGGACTCCGGTCTAGGCGGTCGAGCGGTCTGGGCGTGAGTCAAGATAACGCTTCCTTGTAGCTTTTCGTTCTTTCCTTCATTTACACAGACGTAGCCAAGTTTAAATTAACTATTCATATGTTAGATTGTTTAATAGCTAACTTAAAACTAATGCAGAGGTTAAGGTTACCCGTCGGGCTCCCCTAATTCGGAGAATTTCTTGAAGAAAATGTGAAAGGGAAACGTATTTTGTATTCTTTCTATGACATAAGGTTTTGCCGAGTCTGTGAGCTAATAGTGAAGGAATCTGGGATATGTTTGAGAAGAAGTTAGTAGATAGATAGGTGAGATAAATAGATCTATAGTCTCTCGATCGAATTCTGGAATATTCCTTGTTTATTGGTAACATACAAGGGAGCGTTTGCAATAATTCTGAGAAATTGGTTTTGTACTATTTGTAGTTTCCTTAGGTTGGTTCTTGGTGTATTTCGGCATGTGTGTTTCGGCATGAATATAATAGTAATCGTCTAATTATTTTGAATACTGTTAATTCTGAATTGTATGGTAATGGGCTGGATCTGTGTATTAATGGTTTTAATTGAAGTAGCTTGATTTTGGTTTGAGTAATTTCGACACCTATATGCTGCCTCCAATTGCGTTTTGTGTCAATGTTTAGTCCTTTTTCTTGGGACGGAACCAGTTGATTATTGTACTGGTTAGCATTAGCGGTCTGGGGTGAGTGTGATGATCTTGGCGGCTTCTTTGGTTGATTTGAGTTGAATTTTGTGTTTTGAAGCCCAGCTACCAATTAGGTTGAGATATAATTCAACTTTGTTGCTGCAATGGCTGTAGCTGACTCTGATCGTCTTGAAGTATGCGATTTGTGCTGTTCTCAAAACGAATGGCTCAACTGAAGAACTTTGCATGCCCTAGTTAAAAATTAGCATGACGAACGTTATCTTCGAGAAATTCTATTGCGCCCTATTCTGTGGTCTGATATTCCGACGGAGGAGTCGGGTGCGCAAACGAAAATGAGCCACACGAGGCGCATGCAATTAGCAGCCACGTAACGTTGACGATAGCCGCATCGGGGGCAAACGATACCGTGAGGAACGTGCATCGCAACAAGAACAGAAAATATACGGAGTATATAACCGGAAAACTTAACTGAACAAGTTTTTTCTATTAAATGTTTCGAAAATGGCTCGCATCTCCATTATACTTCTCGTGTTTCTCAGCGGATATGTGGTAAGTATGATATTGTAATTTTTAAAGGTTAAATTACCTTACCTCTCTTTATTACTATTCAAAATTTGAATTAAATCCAAACAAAACAATTGTGAGTGCTTAATGAATAGTAA